ACATTTATGACAAATCACAGCTTGAACTATCTTGCTTTGCATGTAATGAGTCTATCTCATATATTACTTTCACCTTTTAAGTTGCATTACTGAAGTAAATGAACTTTTGCCCGATATTCTAATTTTTTGAGTTACACCTGTATATATTATATAATCTATCCATCATCTCTATCTATCTATCATCTCTATCTATAAAATTTATTTGCTGCCCATCAAGTCTGAATAAGAATTCTGGATCAACCTTCTAAATCAAAGCCATGTTGAGATGTACCAACTTCCTCCTTCCTTCCTTCCTTCCTTCCTTCCTTCCTTCCTTCCTTCCTTCCTTCCTTCCTTCCTTCCTTCCTTCCTTTTTTTTATAAAATTTATTTGCTGCCCATTTCATATCCAACAACTCTGGGCAGCTTACAATAATCCTATTGATTTAATATGGCAGTGTAGATAACTGCCCATCCTGCAATTATGGTTCTGGATGGCAAGTTTAGGATTAAAAGCAACAAGCAACAAAAATAAGAACCATAAATAACAATGATAATACCATTGATACTTATAATTCCACAATAATAGCATTATTGGCACAATTGTAAAAAAAAATGTCTTAAAACGGGGAATAAATATGCATTTGAAGGTGTGAAATCTGATGAAGATTGGTTTTTCTAGCTTATTGCTAAAGTGGAGAAACTTAGATATCCCAACTTGTTTAAAAGAAGCTTGATATTATATATATATTTGCCCCTCCTATCTAATCTCCTTTGTCCTCATTCCATCCAAGCAGCTAGCCAGGCTTTTGGTGTAAATTGGGGCTTCCTATTTGTCCTTCCTTTGGGAGAATAATCACCTTTTCCTCTATTGACAGGGGCTGGAATGACTCTGCCACCACATCTGGCCATGCCAGGGCCCAGCACTTGCCTGCAGCAGACTCTTTCCAGCAAAGCTCCAACCAGCTTGCCCAAGGGGCCGGATCTCTCCTTGCAATGTCCCTCTGATCGTTATGGCAGTGCCTGCTCCGGTCCAAGCTCTTCCTTTCCCCGCCATCACAACGCTTTCTTTGGGGATGTCTTCCCAGGCCGACTGCCACCCACTGTCAATGGCGGTGCCCGCCCAACCTTCCCAGCTGAACTGAATGCTGCCGGGGGTTCTTTCCTGCCCAGCAAGACCTCAGCAGATGCATTGACCCGGCCCTATTCATCCAACAGTTTCCTCTTCCCCCTGCTAGATGAGATGGGGTCTGGTCAAGAGGGCAGCCCTTGGAGTGGCCGTTCCATCCCTCTTGGGTCCCAGGCGAGTGCTGCCGGCTCGCCTGCCCCGACCAGCCTCTCCTCTGTTTCTTCGTCAGCAGGCAGCGCTGAGCCTTCTCCACAGCGGTCACGGCACTCCTCCGCCTCCTCCGAGCAGGGCCCTTCTGGACACCGCCTGGCTTCCAGGCCCTCCAGCTTGGACGCAACACCCCCGACCAACGCCTTAACCAACCAAAGCAGCAATAACCTGCCCTCAGTGCCCTTAGGAGCTGCCCCGGAAGGCAAAGGACCGCCTGGCCTACTGCTCCTTCCTCCGCAGGGCCCAGGCTCTTTTCCAGCCAGTAGTTTGTTGAGCGCAGCCGCCAAGGCCCAGCTGGCCAGCAGGGGGCGTCCCGACGAGCTGGCTGCCAGCACTTTACCTAACCGCTTGCTGCTGTCAGTGGTGGGCGGGCGGACACCTCGGCGGCAACGTCGCTCCCCTACTGTCCTGCGCCTGCTCAAGGATTCTCATGCAGGGCAGGCGGGGGTCACCCATCCTGAGGAGACCCCAACCCGTCACCCCTGGCCTCGGGACCAGCCCCCCGGAGGAGGAGAGGCCAAGAATGGACCCCCAAGCTCAGCCACCCCGGTACAGCCGCTGGCCTCTCTGCTCAGTCTGCTGGCTCCTCCCGGGAGTTCACCTACGCCAGGCCTGCCCCCGCCTCTCCAGGCCCCTGCTGGCGACAGTCCCAATTCTTTGCCCCCCTTCCAGGACTTCAACAGCCAACTCCTCAGCCTCTTTGGTCAGCTGGCTTCTGCGTCTTCCGAACAGATCTCAGGGAGTTCCCCACAGCCAAAACCTCCCACCTCCCCACTTGCATCCCATGGCCTGCCAGGTAGGTTTGTATGTGGAAGTGGAGGTGGCCGTCACCGTGTTTTTGCCCTTCCCACGATTGGGAGCTGCAGCTGAGTGACAGCTGTCTGAAGGTCCTGGAGAGTTTGCTTCTCCTTCTCTTTAAAGGAAATAAAAAGGGCAGGGAATTGCCGGCCCCATAGCAGTCACGCCTCCTGATTGCCTTGCCTCCTTTTTCTTGGCCAGGAAAGCAGATCTTATCTCTGCTGAACTAAACGGCCCTGCCCGAGCTGGTTTGCCATCTGATCCTTTCTGATCATGCAAAGTTCCGGCTATGCAATCCCTGAATTTATAACCAAGGCTTGTCACCAGTTACAGATTCTGGTTCGAATGACATTTACAACAGGTTAATGTTTGGGCAAAAGAAATATGTATGAAATGGAGGAGGTGGGCATTGAATAATCAGAGGTGCCCATTAATCGGGCACATAGGCCTTTGTGTTGTTTAATGTTACACATTTGAATGTAGGCCTTTGTGTTGTTTAATGTTACACATTTGAATGTGGGCCTTTGTTTTGTTTAATGTTACACATTTGAACGTAGTCCTTTGTGTTGTTTAATGTTACCCAGACAGAAATAGCTATGGGAGACAGTCTGTGGTATATACCCTGTTCTGTGAAA